CCACCCCAGGTGTAAAATGGGTACCTGACTTCAGTTATTTTTTTTGCTACGAGTTATACCAACACAGATGAGCTTTCATGCCGATATATTTTGCTACTAGTGTGCAGAATTTGATTAACCTTCTGGCAGGGGTGCCTCACATGGGGGAATTGCTTACTAGTGCTGTAGTACAAGCAGTTTATCAAGGATGTGATCAAGCAAAATATAGGGACAGGAGGACAACCCAAGAGGGCGAGTGAATCAAATATTAGTAAACAATATACAATATGCAGCTTCTACTGTTACCTGGCCTGTTAGTTGGCCAAGGGATGGTTTACCAGTAATGCAAAACAAATAAAAACACTCATTTGAGGCAGTTATGGAATATGATGTAATCACCATGTGTGGTGATGTAATCACCATGTGGCTGATATGGAACAGCGGTTAGCCAGGCCTCCATTCGGGTGATTTGAAATGAATTACCAACTCCATACAGTAGTGTTTGTACCATTGCACACGGGGCATGCCCCTACTCTTTTTCAAAAGGTGTGGTGAGTTTGGTTTGGTTTAACGTGCGTGGGGTGTGGCTCTCCCCAAACACGGAACCTCCATTTAACGTCCTATCCGAGGGACGTCGCTAACCGAAAGCTAAGCACTAGTACTCATTTTCACCCGAGTGAATTGAGGACCTGAGTGAAGTGAGGAAAGGCGTGTAAAGTGCCTTTCCCAATGACATAAGATCAGTGACAAGGTGGGGTTCGAACCCACGACCTCTGGGGTGTGAGCCGAACGCGCTACCGATTGCGCCACACGACACATTTCAGATGGGTTAACCGTTCCCAGTCTTAGGACGAAAAAAAAGGTATTTTATTGGATTTTATGAAACATTTCCGAAACCACCTCCATCGTGGTTTTGAAACCCTTCAGCGGGGGGCCTGAAACCCTTACTGCTAGAAAAATAAAGAGAAAGGGTTTTGCAAAGCCCCATTATTAAGACCATATGGTAATGATATGTTAAGAAGCCAGGGTGCTTGTAAAAGTTGTATCTTTTGTTATGCTCATGTCATTTTTTCATTCTAGTAGCTATCAATTTCTAGCTATGTCATGATCTGTCATGTCCCTCCATCCCTACCTGAAAATAAAATTGGCAAAAGGCCATGCCAGTGAAGGGTCTGGAGCACTATGATGCCTGAGCTACTATTGGCATAACGAGGACAAAAGCCGGGTTCAAGCCTGGAAATTGCCTGTCCTGCTGTACACGACCCCTCACAGCCCTCAGTCTCCTTTGATAGGCAAGTATGTCAAAATGAAAAATGCAAACAGTAGTAAAAATATAAACTAGAGTGGCAAGATAAAATCAACGACTTATTTTCTACCGCCATTTTGATCTGCAATATCCCACCCCACAGGTGGCCCACTATGCTTCCACCCCTGTGTCTAAAGGCAAACCGTTATATAATACCAGTTAACATTTTTCAAGAAAAAAAATAGTAGGCTATTAGAAGACAAGTTGTATGCCTCGAATATACAGGCATGAACAGGCACCGGACCACCTATTTACCGGAATACACAGGAATACAGTGAAATACACATAATTACAGTGAAATCTACCGAAATACAGTGCATTCTTTGACTTAACTGTAAACAGTTCTGGGAACAAGAAATCATGAGAAATTACCACAGTGAAATTACTGCGTAATTCTGGTGCATCACATCACGAGTAACACAGACTTTAGCTTTTATTAACAAAGAACTTCAAACAAGGAAAACTGAATGAAAGCATCATGATGATGATTCATGCGCCATGTATACATTGTCTTATGTGAAAATACAGAAATCTGGGATGTTGATCATCAATGCATGGTGTATTCCACTTGATCTATACCTTTTCATTTGTATTCCTGTGTATTCCAGTACATTCCGGTACACAGGCAGACCCATTTTTACTGGTTAGGTGTGCTAAGCACACCTGTCAAGTATAAGGCGGTTCTATCTTACATGCACTAACCTGCTTATACCTACGCTGGTGGTATTTCACTCTACAGCATTTGTTACATTACAATACCGTTGAAAAAAACTGAATGTGATTTACGGTTTCAGAAACGTTATGGGACATATGGGGCCGGGTGAAACATGTCAGACTTAAACAAGCGAAAAAACAGACAAAAACATACCAAAGCCACGGAGACAAAGTGAACTGAGGTAACATCATTTCTATTTACCATGATAATCCAAGTTCATCAAGTTTGTTTTTTTCCCGGTCGTCCAGGAACGTCAAAAGAATTTGTATTTTTTGCGAGTTGCTGTACGTAAACAGCAAGGAGGTTGAATGATTCGACGGGGTCACATCGCCACAGTACTCGAGTCATTCACTCACCGCCAAATTTTCCATGAGCTTGTAAAAAGCCTGTTCGGGCGCCACACATAACCTCAAACGTTGCTGTTCTCAAGAAACTTTACGAGTCGACACTGTTGTTCTTCGGCAACACAAGAATTTTCGAACGAAAGCCGCCATATTGGAAAATCAGATGACCTTTTGCCTGACCTTTTGCCACTCCAGCATCATGGGGCGGTGACCCCGCCTGATCAGCCAGCGTATGTCACCATCCATGAGAATCGCTG